GGATAGACTGACAAAGGGGATGGTATCAAGCTTTGTTGATCTTACTCATCTATAGACAGATGCTAAGTTCCAGAGTCTTTCCTAGTGCCCTAAAAACATAAAGACTTTTAGAGGTATCTCTATTCATTCTTGATGAGGTTGAAATTAGGCCATTGAATAATAAAATACTATTTTATTTCCATAAGAATGGATAACAAATAAACGTGTGACATTTATCAAGGGAAAAATGCTTAGCTTGAGTTGCGCACATTGGCTGGCTGGCCTTCTGTTCTTTGAAGGAGCTGTCTCTATCATTTTTGTAAAGCAGCGGACACATCCAGAACACCAATGATAAGATTCCAGCATTCTCTGCAGTTTTCACATAAGGGGCCTGAGCTTATTACCATAATAGATAAAGCTAATATTTGTAGTATTCACTGCATCAGATACAAAAGAGGCACAATCACAAATGTGACCAATAACTTTTCGGCTGGTCGACAAAGTTAGCCACTAAAACATTCTAAAGACAAATCCCATATTAGTGCCATTAAACTTTTCTTTAGGACTGCTAGTTTATTTTTTTAAAGATATTTTGCCATAGGGAATGTGCGCTTGCCTGAGAGAGAGACAGAGAGAGGGAAAGTGAGAAATCACCCTCTGGTGGATGGCCATGCAGCAATCCCTTCTCCTCCATTTTCCTCTTGGGATTGTGGGCACTCACATACATATGTCCAGTGTGTTTCAGGTCCCCAGGTCCTGGACTCAAACCCTGGTTGGTCACATGGAAGTCCAGCGGTTTAATCACTATGCCACCTGCTGGTCCCAAGACTCCTAGTTTTGAGAGAACTGGAGCCTCAGATAGCCTTAGATCACAACCAAGAGCAGTATGTAAAGCAAGTGACCCTTCATGGTGATGACCCTCCACACACTGGTATTATACTTTCAAATGCTGGTTGGAGTAGTATGGAGACATTAAATGTATGCCATTGATCCCTTCATTCATATTCCATTATTTATAAACAATACTAATAACACATTACACCAAATGCAAATCTTTCTATACCAGCAGGTTTTTATCCTAAGGTAAAAATCAACAACATCTGTAATGAAATCATGTATAAAGCTACATTTATTAACAAAGTCATTTCCTAATAAAACACCATCTGCAAGGAACCCTCAGTTTCCACTTTATATAAATAGACCTTTTACTATTTTCAGATGGGGCTCCCAGAAAATTCTCCTAAACCCAACTGCAGAACACCTCAGTCTTTTCATGTGCTTGGCTGCCCAGAATGTTAATACATTTTGTTACATGAAGTTTTTAAACAAACAAATGATTTGTTTAAATGACATGCCTTATTTGAAAAGCTGACCTTTTGCAATAAGGTTAATCTTTTAGTATTCTTTTGCCAATACAGAAATTCTAAGAAAAATGGAGATGTTTCAAGAACAGGAAATAAAAATTTCCCCACTGTAAACACAAGTATAGGCATGTCAGAAAACATGGGTGCACACACATTTCAATAATAACTTGTGATCTCTTGATTCACAAATATTTGTTCTGTTTATGTGTGTATATTAGAATGCTGTCTGTTTTCTGATCATTCAATTCTGCCTGCCCTCCCTCTTCCCAAAAGCACTATAGTAACACACATGTCAGCCTCCTACCATTAGAGCCAGGGAAAAAGTTGAAAATGCTCAAAGAAACACGATGATTGCTCTACGGGTAAGCCTTTTTGGTAATAACTCAAAGTAATGCTACCACTCATGGAAGACAGCTAACACTGACTAGGGACCCGGAACCCAGTGCCTGGAACTCGCGGCGCCAGGAACTGGGCCTGAATTCTAATGCTAAGTGCTTTTGAAAAGTGCATCAAGATTTAATAGGGTGAATTTTCAGACTTGGTCAGAGTTTTAGCCACATAAATTCCATTAGGTTCAAAGCTCTGTAATGCTCCACCCTATCTATATTTATACCCACATTATAATCTACACCCTTCTAAGCTCTCTGTTGGGTTGTCTAACCTCTCATTTCCTTTCCTCCTATTTTTGGTTTTCACATTACCCTTGAATTCTGTATGTCCCCTTGACTTTAGGGCCCGATGTTTCTCTCTATCCTTCCTTTCAATCCTTCCTTGAGACTTATATTTTAAAATAAGCACTTCCTTCACTTATCACCTATCATGACTTTATTGCATCTGACCCATTTTATATACAAAGCTCAACTAAAATCCGTTTGTACCATCACCAGAGGTACAAACAAATCTCCAGATTTGAAAATGTACTCTCACTGGGTGTACCAGGGAACTGACTGACAAAATGAAGTCATTTCTGAATCTGGGTCAGCCATTTTATGAATGTATAAAAGAGAATATTACAACACGGTATCTCACTGGGTCTGCAACCTGTCACTCCACTACTGAGGTATGGAAATGGACTGACGGACTGCTTTAAGGGATCGTGCTATTTCCTGATTGGTCCTGAGCAATGCCACTGTAGTGTAAGGAGAGAACAGCAACAGATACAAGGGCAAGAGAAGGAACAAAAAAAGGATGAAATCCCAACCTCTCATTAAGTGTTCTCCTCAAAAAAAAATTCTTCTCATTCACAGCATTTTTCATTTTAATGTATTAAAATCCTGTATTAAGTCATCTATTTGAAATGAGGATTAGGATTTCTTGATGACTATACAGGAGCACAATAAAGACACAGGCATGCAGAATACAATTAAAGAAATATAACCGAAGATTGATTTTCTAACAATTGTTTACCCTTCATGTTATTTGATTAACATTATAGCTTAGAAAATATAACCAAGTAATCATTTTTAAAATTCATTCATTCAACAAACATTTACTGAATATCTACTATGTGCCTTGCATTTGCTAGGCACTTGGGATACAGAGAAGAATGAGACATTCCTTGCCCTCAAGGGGCTCACAGTCTAGCAGAGGAGACAGACACAGAAATAAATAACTACAGTACAGTAAAATAACTGCCAGTCAGTGTGTAGAGAAGGCACTAGAGGAGCCCTGAGAAAGCAATTAGTGATTTAGCTGGAGGGATCAGGAAGGCTTTCACAGAGAAGGTGACAACTGAGCAGATCTCAAGGAGAAACAAGACTTCAGGAAGACAAGGGAGGGTGGGAAAAGACATTCTAGGCTAAGGGATTCATTCTAGGCTGAGGCAAGAAAACAAGGAAATGAGACTAAGCCCACCATGGTGGAGAACCATGGCTAGTTCCATATGACTGCAGAAGAAAAAGTGGTGAAATATGAGGCCAGAAAGGGAGTATGAAACTAGAGAGGGAAGAGCTTTGTGTGCGAGACTGTTTGGACTTTTTTCTAGAAGCAATGAAAAGGCACTGAAAAGACAAAAGCAAGGGTGACATGGTTAGCCTGTGATGATAATGGTTTGGAAGAGAGGTGAGTCTTGAGGGAGGGAGACCAGGTGGGGGTCTGTCACAGGAGTCCAGGTATGAGATTCTCATGGGTGGTTCAAAGGTAGTAAGGGAAGAGAACAGGTGACAAACTGGAAAGAGATTGAGGAGGACTTTTAATAAGACTTGATGAATGATGATACAGAGTCAAATTGCCTCATTAATGAACAATATTAAGAACATACTTCCAGAAAACACAACCAACAACTCCAGGCCTCCCTCCTTTTGTGTTCCCATGGTCCTCTGAATTCACCATATCTACTGAGGATGAATTAAGGGAGAAGAGTCAGGGACCAGCAGATGGCATAGTGGTTATGTTGCTGGACTTCCACATGGCTGACTGCAGTTCAAGTCCCAAACTCAGTGGCTTGAAAATCATGCCAGGTGTGTGTTTGTGCATGTGCAAGATCCCAGAATAGAGGAGAAGGAACTGTGGCATAGTCATCCTCCCTGGGGGGTGATTTTTCACTTCCCCTCTCACTTTGTCTGTCTCTTTCTCTCTCTCCCCAGAGAGGGCACACACCCTAAGGCAAAAACCTCTAAAAAAAAAAAAAAAAAAAAGAAGAAAGGGAGAAGAGCCAGGGGGCTCACATGGTCAGACTTCTCTAATTCAAACACCACTAACTTGGAATCTGCAACAATCTAGACAGTCTCCCTGCCACACCTATTGAGTAAGAATTTCAACCTACTTTCTTCCTCTGTGTCTTTTTAAGCCTTTAGTTAAAACAGGAATCCAATCTAAAGGCAGTGCCTTCTTCCATTCAAATGCTTGAAGTATAGGAGGCAGCTGCTTATGTGGTGATGTCTGAGGGGCAGCCCTATATATGCCTCCCACCCAGGGGCCTCAAGGCCTAGAATCCAGTCATTATCAATTCATTTCTTTGGAAGATGCTTTTGTCCCTCTGGACTTCTGTTTTACAAGGCAATGATTTCTGAAATGTATAGAATATCTTTCTAAAGCCCGTGGGATTTTGGTTGCTCACAAAGAGCTATGTAAGTACTGGTGAATGGTGGTGATGCAAAAGGGAAGATTGAGAGATGTAGAAGATACCACTAAGATCTTGCTAAGGAACAGCCCTGCAACCACTCAAGAAACCAAGACTCTTAAAGAATGCCTTCTACTTAAGGTTCCAGAAAATCACACTTGTACATTCTTGTACCTTAAGGAACATCTGTGTTTTGTTTATAACCAGCTATTGGCTAGTGAAGGGCTACTGTGGCACGATCATGTCATGAACTTCATACTACATATGACCAATTAAAGTCTCAAAGTTTGTTCACTTGTACATATTATGACTACCATTACATTTTCTGAAGCTGTAACTCCAATGTTTCATTCACCCAGAGTGACCTTGTCTTTTGTCATTCCAAATTATGGAGATTTAACTGTATTTGGAGACAGTTAATCAGTCACACCACAAGTGACAGAAGATCAAGACTCATACTATGACCTTGAAGAGTCTCATATATGGTTCAATAAGGTAAATGAGAGCTGCTTGTGAATACTTGATTATAGAGGTTAGAGCAGTGAACTTTAAAAAAAAGGGGGGGGGGACAAAACAAAAGTTTAAAAAGTACTTACTTCACTTGTTTGGAGGATCGTAAACTTTGGCAGCTTAGTCTTTGAACTGGCTGCACTGGGTTTTCCATCCAACAATGATCCGAATGACAGATTCCCAAAGCTGTTTTCAAATTCGATTGATGGTTTCAATGCTGGCGAGATGTCCGGTGCCTGGTCCTGGCCATCCATGGGCCTTACATATGCTGTTGGCTTTTGCTGCCCCATGCTTGATTTGCAGTAAAGCCCCGGTGGGAAGTTTTGAACTGAAAGGCCACTGCTGGGAGCTAATAAAGAAGAAGCAACTAGGGGAGACCCAGGTGCTTGCACTGTAAATTCAGATTCTTCTGGTGAGTTGGATTCAGAGATTTCTTTGAAGGCATCATCTCCACTGGACTTGGAGCTACTGTCTTCCTTTGCAGATGGAGCCGATTCTTCAACTACCCCAACTGGAGGCTGTTCCGCTGGGTAGACAAAGAAGTCTTCCAATCTAGCTTGAGAAGGGTCCTGTGTCAAAGTCTGCATCTTGTTTGGTTGATTACTGACCTGGCTTGTCGGTACAGTGCTAGGGTTATGACTGTCTCGTGGCCACTCCACTTTCGATTTTCTGTTGCTGTGTATTAGAGTTGAATTCAGTATCACGACAGAAGGTGGAGGCATTGGTGCTGAAGGGTGGGTATTATCTTGATGGGGTGGAATCATTCGGTTCTTTTGCTCTGGAAAAAAGCTCGGTTCATTTTTGTTGACAGGAATCTGGGGCACAGAATTCTTTGGGATTCCCACTAGATGATTCTGATTAGAATGGTTAGTTAGCAAATCCTTCATTTCATCATAGTTTCCAAGCGTGTTCTGGACTCGGTTGGCAAGTGCATCACCTTTGTTTGTCTAAAATAACAAAAAGATGGGGGTGGGAGGAGAGAGAATGAATAGGTTTGTGTTTCCTAATGTTAATGTTTCAAACAGATGCCTTAAGTAGACTAACATATAGGGTTCTTTAAAATTGTCACACTGTCATATAATTCATACTTTATATGTGCTATGTAAGAAAAAAATCAATAATGCTATTGAAAGGGCCTCTTGGAATGAGGGGGTATGATTATCATTTGTGTACTCCCTGGCCTATCCTTAAACATGCAGGTTGGAGGAATGTTTTAAATTACATAGTTTATTAACTTTATTAGAAAAATAACTTATTTTAGGTAAAATGAGTTAAATTGCTACAATCTACAAAATGAACAAGTTTTGCTTACTAACTATTAAAATTGGAATGAAATGTTTGACATATATTTTCACACATTAGCCTTCACACTACATTATACCATGGAAAAAGCTTAGCCCACTAGATAAGGAAGTCAGTTAAATTGTGCTATCATAACTAGTCTAAGTTTAGAAAAGACATGGGATTAAACAACATCTAATTGAACTAACTTATGACTAAAGTGAATCTAATTCCTTTTAATCAAAGAACTGTATAAATTATGGGTGTCTGCCTACATATTCTGAGGGCAACTGTGTTTACATAGTGATGATTCATACTCGTTTACTTTGAAATGGTACAATTGTTCATCAACAGTGACTCAAGCTCTCCTGTGTCTCCAACGATTTAGAAAAATGTATTCAAGTATTAAACTGTTGTGGAAGTAACTCAAAACAAAATCATCTTTTCAAACTGATGCTAGCCTAACGTGGGAGTTACAGAGGCAACCAAATCACTCTATGGACATCGACATACAAGCTACATCATCCCCTGTGGTATATGTTAATCCTATTAAAATGGCTGTGATTGTTTTTATAATAATTAAGCTCCTAAAGGGTTTTTGCAATATAGAATGCAAAGCTTTCAACTAAAAAATGGTGGGTAGCTGTATACTTGGAAATGACTTTAATGGATGCTCAGATGTTCATCCTTGAAAATGATACCTATTATCTCTTTACATGAGGTTATCAAAACAAACTGCTGAATTCAGAAGGGCAGAAGACTTCTTGATACCTAGGCTATATGATCTTGGCCCAAGATGTTGTAGTAAAAGAAGGTTACCAGTATACAAATAGGCATCTGGAAACTGGGCCACTAGATGGGGAAGACATCACCCTATGTGGCCTTCAGGTGCCAGGAGCCACAGGCACATTCTCCATGCACGGGAGGGGGTAACCATCTCTCCACTGTTACACTCTCCATTGAAGATAGCTGTTCAACATCTAATGTTTCTCATGTGCCCTTAGCATAGTCCAGTCTCCTAGTGTACACTGGGAGTATACCTGTCCAAACCTGGTATCTCAGTCTACACCTAGGTTGTATGACTGTGTGCTGTTCTGTCTGTGAAGACAGGAGAGTATGCAGATGGATAGAGAGTGAAGTGCCAGAAATGGATGAAATCACTCAGAGAAAGAAAATGTAAAATGAAAAGACCAGGCTCTGGAGAGAACCTTGGGGAACATCAATTTTTAAGAGACTGGGAGAGGAAGAGGAGACAGCAAAGGGTACCAAGAAGAAACAATCAGCGAGAGAATCAAGGCAGAAACTTTGACCTCCTTATTAGCAAAATCTCCATATATTATAGAAAACATTTAACTCTGCCATGAGTGAAATCATATAAGACACTTCTAAAGAAATGAGGGCAGTTAGAGAAATATGAATTTCAAAGATTAAGTAAAAGCATATAAAATATATGCTAAGGGAGTTCTGGGGGGCTGGGAATGTTTATATATATATAGTATATACATATATATAATACATAATATATACATACATATACACATATATATGCCAATTTTAGTTTGCTTATCCTCTAGAACATCTTATATTGCATCATATGTAACCTTGGTGCTGAAGTAGTAATTACACAATTAACATTCCATATAATCCTCAGCTGAATAATCACTTCATTTTGGGAAGTACATTTGAAAGACATATTTTAAATCCATAGGTTGGTAGAAATCACTTTTATTCCGTAAAAGCTCCTAGGTTTGTCACTGAAATGGCAGAAATTACTTTTTAGCAAAGACAAGAATAAATTCTTTGTATACTATGATCCCCTTCAAATGAATTGCACAATGAACCATTTGGGCAGCTGCCAAAATCAGTCTCTCTCTTCAATCCCTAAATTTAAAAAAAAGAAATTTCATGGTGGTGAGGGGACCAGCAACAATTTGATGCAAACTTGAAATATCTACAGGGTTGTTCTGACCCCTCCAGAATATTACCTTGCGTCAGATGATTGCGTAATGAACACAGATACTTGTCTCTATTCAAGGATCAGATCGAGCAAATAGGTAAACAATACCACTTCATTTCCCTTTTGAAATGTCTGCATTAGCTGGCTGTCATTGAAACTGAGTTCTACAGAATCAGAACCTTGTCCCCGGGTGTCACAGAGACCACCACGATGAACAGCACAATACTCTGAAAAGTCATTCTACCCTCTCTAGGTCAATGACAGCAGGAACTATGAGTCACCAGGCTTGTTTGACTGTAAGCACGCTAGTCACACTCCTGTTCTTATTTCAGCAGTAAATAGAAGAGGCATGGTCATATTGTCCTCAGTAGGGAGAACCTTACCTAGTTTGTGATGCTTCTTCATTTACATTGACTGTTATAATTATCTAGAGTTCTGATGCATGTTCAGGTATTTTTCCCCCCACATCTAGGTTTTAAAACAACGCTTGAAATTAAGAGAAGTTCTAAACCATCCAATGTCTAAAACCCTGTCTATGTGAATAAAATTAGGGAAAAAATGAAATTTCTCTGAGTATTTCTACAAAATCAACCTCCTATTACATGCTATACAATACAGTTGTGATGACTTTCTCTGAATAAAACTATAAACTCTTAAAGATCAGAGACCACTTTTTATTCATCTTTCTATACCAAAGACTTAGAACTATTTCTGATGCATATTCAATACTTAGTAAATTTTTGCTGAATTGAACAGAATCGAATTGTAACTCATACCCTGCCTAATAGTTTGCAATGGCTTGGAATAATAGGTACATAAATAGAAAGGCAACATTCTGGCTAACTTGGTTACTATGACTGAATGTTAAATTAAACTGTGAGCTTCCTGGCACCTAAGGCAAAAAGGAAAAGCTCATAGGTTATAGAATTCTCTCTGTCAGGTGGAAGGAAGCATATCTGAATTCATTACATAAGACAAATGGTTGCCTGATACTGAAATATGGAAAGGAATTCTTTTCCTTGATTTGTTTACAAGAACTTTTGAACAATCAAATGATTTTTTTCAGCACCAAGTTTCCAGAAGATGCAGATATTCTTCATGTGACTTTTTCTTGTGATGACTAAGAAGTGAGAGCATCATATTAAAGTCTAACTCAGTAGAGGCAATGACTGCATGTTGATTTAGGGGACTAGGCTAATAAGGATCCAGGCGAGCAGCTTTCTTGTGCACTAATACCATAGGGGTGGAGCTGTGGTAGCCGGGAGGAATGGAGGAATGGCATCTCCCTTAGACTAGCTTCCTTATCCACCAATTGTCTCAGATGGGCTTCTGACAGAAACTGCACAGCAGACAGTTCAAGGTTGAGATCACTGATGACACTTTCTGAGTTGCTGATTGAAGGAGGATCCATGTGCTTTGCATAAGGAACATGCTGTAGCTATAAGGAATCACTGTGGCCATTCTTAAGACAATACCAGCAAAATGAAAGCACTTCTGAGGCAGGGTGAGGCATAGGGGACACACAGACACATAGTCTTCACAAGTCCACCATTCAACAATCGCCAATGATTAATAGTCTAGTCCAGCTTGCCAAAGTGAATTCTCTGCCTTCTTACCACTGGAAATAGGTAACAGTCAACCAGTTTTTTATTTACAAAGATGTAGCTATGAGAGACACTGGATAGAAAACCAAATGGGGGTTGAAATACAGTTATATACACCTACAGCAACTTCTGATTCACACTAAGTGTTCTTATTCACCCTCCAGAGTCTGAGTAATCCTATTAAGAAGCAAAGCATTCTTGGCAGTCTTGATCGAACATTATAAACATGGAAAAATGAAATTTCAATCAATTATAGGCTTCTTTCAATTTGGCCCATTCTTTACTTCCCGTTCTAGATAATTGGTTGATTCCTTAAAGGTAACCTCTGTAGCCATTATTTTCTAAGTAATCACAATTTCTCTATTATCAAGGAAATGCATTTCCCAAGTATTTTCAGGCATAAATTACATGTCTGGTTTGTGGCTCATGACTAACAGCACGCCTTCATTTACGCATTTTGCCTCTCATTGCTTCAACAAATACAAACTTCCCTAGCTTTGCTTCTAATGCTATCTACAAATCAGTAGTATAATTTCATTACAAGACTAATGTGCTAAGAGGCTAGTGTACCATAGTCTTTTTAATAAAAGTAGCAAAATAATTTAGTTTTGAAGTTCATTTTTTTCTTTCATATTATTATGGTTAAAGCATATGATTTAGTAATTCTTTTTTCTAATTCTAATATTTTTACAGTTAATCTCCCTAAACTGTCAATTGCTATTTCTTTTTTTAACTATAATATGATAATACCTTGAATTTGTATAGCACTCTACAGATCTCAAAGCTAGGTTTCCCAGATTGTTTTATTTGTTCCTCACAATAGCACTATGAGTCAGCAAAATAGCCTTTGCCACCACCTGACCTCTACCTGCCATAACACAAATGACCATGTGTCAACCACTTAGACCTCTTTTCACCTCAGTGTCCTCATTCTTGTTGAGCTGCAAAGAGCTAGACAATGTTATAATTGTTAATTATTATGATTCACACAAGAGAGGAGGAAACTATGAGTCAAGGCAAGAAATTTCTTCTCCACAGCCACCCAGGAAGTAAGTTTATCAAGTCTTTTTACTTCCTATCAGAGATAAACAACCTCCTGTTACAGAACCAGAATCACCCAGACCTGGGTGAAAGTCTGGATTCACTATGTACAAAATATGAAGGTGCAGAGAAGCTTCCCCATTTCTCTGAGCTAAAATTCCTCATGGGAAACTTGGAGAAAATGCATACTCCAGTTGTAAGTATAAAATGAGCAAATGTATAAAGCCCTAGCTCAATGCCTGGCATAAAACAGGCACTTAGTACATGGTGGTCCCTCACCAGTCTACCCACACTAACCTAGATACATCAAATGCCTCCATATTTCTCAGGCATTTTTGAAGACATCCTTCTCCACAGCACAAATTCAAATTTGAATGTTACAAGCTATAAAGGCAGCCCCAGTGAGAAGTTCCCTACCACCAATCAAATCTGGGGGTGGACAACTTTCTTTCCAGTCTGAGAGTGGTTGAGGTGAAGCAAAAAAGGGAAAGAAATCAGTCAGAAACATGAAAGATCACCATTTTTTCTCTCTGCTAAGAAAGAGTAGTAGGTCCTAAGGACCAGCATTCACTTTGACTAGTTTATGATCCACTGAATCCTGATCCACCACCAGGAATTGAGATTTTTAATCTGGTAACCCTCAGAGAAGAGTTGTGGTACATACTCATTCCTGCCAGTGGACTGTGAATCAGCTCTAGGACGCCCATTGCCACCACCATGTCCAGACATGCCATATGTGTCCTACTCAGTCTTGGTCTGGGGAACCTTTGGAGGTGCATATCAGTTGTAGTATCATAATATAGGAGGAAAGCAGAGCATACTTCTTAGTGATCCCCCAGAGAACCATGCACATGGACACAGTGCAAAATAACCACCGATCATCAAAGCAAGGATGAAAGGGAAGGAACTACTAAGTCACCAACTGTTAGCTTTACTCCTTCCTGTCATAGTTTTCTCTCAAGAACAAAGGCTCCCCATCAAGAAGCACAAAGGCAACAAGCTACTAATCACAAAGCAGGCCAGGCACTGCACTAGACGAAACCTTCTCATTTTATCTCTACGTGATGTACCCTTCAGTATCAAGCTAGATGACTTTTAAAAACTTTTTGACAAGATTGATAACAGGCTTTTTTGACTGCATAATCGAAAATACACTACTAACAACTAAAACTTAATATGCATCTATATTGCAGGCCTTGTTAAGAGACAATATTAACCATAAAGGTATAAAACCATTTCACCATGACTTAAAATTATGAAGGGAGAATAAATCAAGGTTTTCACCTCAATAGTTATGGATGAGATGGATATTAAAACTTAAGAAAATTCATTCGATATGCTGTAATGGTATACAATAATTGAAAGTAAATAAATAAATACATACATACATTTTTAAAAAGAACAAAAATCCTTTGAGTACAACTTATTCTAACCCATCCAAATATAAGATTTTTTTTTTTTGAGAGATTTTCACTGTAGGGCGCGTGCGCTCGCCAGACAGACAGAGAGAGACATAGAGACAGAAAGCGAGAAATCACCCCCCAGGGGGGATGGTCACGCCGCAATCCCTTCTCCTCCATTCTCCTCTCGGGATCTTGGGCACGCACGCACACGCGCCCGGCGTGAGTTTTAAGCCACCGGGTCCGGGACACGAACTGCGGTCGACTACGTGGGAGTCCAGCAACATAGCCATTACGCTAACTGCTGGTTCCCAAGATTTAAAATCCATCTGATTGTTCCTTTTTTCACCTTGAGAAGGAATGAAGTGCTTGCCATCCTCTGTCCAGAAAATGGAGGCCATGGCTTCCTGCTCTCTCCCAGTCTTCTTCACATGCTATGCTCTCAGTTTAATATTGAGTTGCTATCTTCCTGGATCATGATTCTTCATCTGCACTGCACCTTGAATTTTTTTTTTCTCTATTTAGCATCACCTCTCTCTCCTGTTTCTTCCACCTTCTCCTCCATTGATGGTGGTTTCTTTCTTTCCATCAATCTCCAAACAGGCTCATATTTTCCCCCACCTCTCTCTCTCTCTCTCTAACTCTCTCTCTCTCTCTCTTTCTCTCTCTCTCTCTCTCTCTCTCTCTCTCTCACACACACACACACACACACACACACACACACACGCTTCCCTCCATATAATTGCTGCCTTTAATTTCTAACTTGTCTATATTCCTTCCTTCCTCCATGTAAAACTTCTCTTCAAGGTCAAGTCTACATTGACCACTTCTCTTTCTTTACTTAACCACTTCCCATTTACTCTCCACTCCCTGGCAGTTGGCTTCCCACAATGACCACCACCATCAGCAAATAAAACGACTCTCCTTAAGGTCACCAATCACCCTTTAACTGTCAAATCCAACAGCCACTTTATAGTCCTCACCTTTCCTGAACTCTCTGAGGCATGTAACTAGCAAATCCTTTCTCTATAAAATCTTTTGTTCCTTTAATTTCTATTAAATATTTCTTTACTAGTTCTCCTTTTACTTCTGTTCATTTCTTTTTTAGTTTCCTATCTTGGTCTCTGCTTTCATTCCCTCTTTTATCCTTTCAATATTTCTACTCTCTTTGTCCCTCTTCTTACTCTGTAATTAGACTCAATGATGGTATTAATCCTCACAGCTTCCACTGTCACTTACATGATGATAACAGCCAAATTCCTATTTTGACTACTCTTAGGAGTTCCAGATGCATATACCTAATGTCTGGACATTGCTCCCTTGATATCCCACTGTCATCTCAAATCTAACATGCTCAAAACTAAATTGGTCATTGTTTCTCTATAAGCACCAACTCTGTTCTTCTCCTGAATACCTTGATAATGATACCACTATCCTTTCAAATCAAAAGCTCAAGAAGTGCTCATTCCTATCCCATATTCCTCATACCTAACCAGACATCCAGTCTCCTCATTTCAACTTCCTTGCTCTACCTTAAGTCCTTCCTGCTCCTCTTATTAACTATAATATTGTCTTTATATTCTTCTAGTTTCTCCTCCCTTCAGCCCACTCCCCGCAGTGTCCAACATCATCTCTCTAAATTTTATGTCTGCCTTTCCCATGCAATAACTTAAAAACTTGAAATGAGGTCTCTTCATATACAGAATTGCATTCACACTCCTTGGAATTATGTATAAAGTTTTTACTGCTCCTTTTCCTGCCCATCTGTCTAACAATCCCCAAGCAGTCAGGACATCACTGGTTCATGGTCATCTCTGCCATTGGATTAGAGGTCCTTGAAGATAGGGAATATTTTATTCCTCTCTGTGAACTAGTCTAAGATAGTGACTGACACACAGTGGGCCTCCAATAAATGTCAAATTAGTCATATATCTGAGTATGCATACTCATAAGTAGTATATAGATTGAACCAGCTAAGCAGGAAAAAAATACTTTTTTATGGATTATACTATTGCTGACAGACTGAAATCCAGTAGTAGTTGTATGACTAAGTCTATTTTTCAGGCTTACCAGACCTGGATGGTACCTGAATGTCTGAATCAACAATTGTGTACTTGTTCTGGACAGGACAGAAAGGCTCTGGTCTCATTAGCCACTGATCCAAACAGTTTATTATTCTTTTCCTCAAAATGGTATTTGGCCCTATGCTGCCCTCATGAAAAATTTCTGATTCCCAAAGTCACTGTCCCTTAAATGGTGCACTTCTAAAATCACAACTCTTGAAAATGTTCTCTATTGTTGTTTTATTTGTTACATCATTTTTGTTTTCATTACAGAAAATTACTCTGCTACTAAATTTCAATAAAACCCAACCACTGCCTGCAATTCAATAAGATTCTTCCATCATAATCTCTTTTCAGTTGCCTCCAATCTCCACCCCAAATAGAAAGTTTAGAGGCAGTCATTGTAAAATCAATACTTCAGACGTAGCAGTCTAATCATTATTGGAGCTACACAGTAACCAGAATATCACTAGAAAATCAACCTGCCTACACTACCCACTCTGGTTGAGGCAATCTCCTAAACTATGATTATTAACTATCAGGAAAAAATGATTGGCTTTTTTTTAATCCTAGAACAGTGATTTTCAAAGAGCACTCAAATCACTGAACAGCTGCTAACAACTTCATATGGAAAAGGAAAGCAGTGGCCTTGCAATGGATGGCACTGATGGGAACAGAAAGAGACAGATCTGTTGACATTCTGAAGAAGTCTTCAGGGCTGCCTTGCTGACAGTCAAAGCAATAGAAAGTGTCAAGCGGGTATTCCTTGCTCTAGGAGTCCTTGGGTAGTAAGGGACTCCTTGGAGACAGGAAGTCATACAAGTTTCTTTCAAATCTTACAGTACTCCCCAAAGAAGGAATGTATCTCTGAAGACTTCCTCAGAAACTTGCAATTGCCCCAAATACAGTGTGTGTACATATTTCACTTGTAAAATACATTCTCCTGGAAATGACTTGGGTGCTTTAAAAATAAGTGTTCATTAATGAGTTCAAAATGTAACAAGCAACTATTTTCCAGAAAGATAAATTACATACATATTCAGCTACCTTGTAGGGCTCCCCAAAAAGATCAAAGCCTGAAGAAAAGAGATCGTCTTCTTGCTGGACTTCTTGATTCCTCCGCTCCCATTCCCTTTTTTTAAGTGCACTACGGTCTTGTTCATAGTGACTGGTATGAAAAGGAAAAAAATGAAAGGAGAAAAAAATTAGTCACGTAAATAATTTAGATCTTCCTTGTTATCAATAAGAAGGAGGAGGAAAAAACAAAAAACTTCAAGTCAATGCTACCTAAGTTGCTCCTGCATAAAGAATCCTTTTCTTTACCCAGCTGAGTTTAAGATCCTGACTGGATCTTCAGAATAAAGAAGAAAACAGAAACTTGTCTATTAGAAATTGTACTCAGGATCATGCAAGAATTGCAGATTCCTCTTCCCTTGTCCTTGTTCGATTATTACAAGTGATGGTATACTCCCCCAAAGTCAGTCCACCGTGCAGAAAGTTCCTGAAAGTTATATTGTATTGCCAACTTCCCAGGGCTGAGATTCCACAGATGCTACAAAGTCCTAAGGGAAACGAATCACCAAAGTATAGAAATACAGATAAACTTCAATTCTTTCCTGAGTCCATAGCCAGAATTAGCCTGTTTTAATGAAATCACTTGTTAGTTAAAGGGTATTTTTGGACGTACACACACACACACATACACACATACAACTGAATCACCCACACTCCTTTTTGTTTGATGGTGGTTGTTTGGTCTTCCTAGTTTGTTTCAAAGATGGCTAGAAACCTTTGTGGGAAACTCCTCGCATAGGAAGGATTCTGGCTTGAATAACATAGTACCAAGGATGAAAGAATAGGTGTTGAAAGCCTTTAGGGAACCAGCAGGTAGCGTAATGGCTATGTCTATGGACTCCCACGTAGTGGACCACGGTTTGCATCCCGGTGGCTTAAAACTCACACCGGGCGTGTGTGCGTGCATGCCCAAGATCCCAAGAGGAGAATGGAGGAGAAGGGATTGCGGTGTGACCATCCCCCCTGGGGGGTGATTTCTCACTTTCTGTCTCTATGGCTCTCTCTGTCTGTCTGGCGAGCACCCTATAGCGAAAACCTCTCCAAAAAAAAAGAAAAAAGAAAGCCTTTAGTGACCTTAATACACAAATGTTTTATGAAAACTAAGTAACTCTGTGGCGCTCCCCTCATTGCATTTCAGGCCTTCCCACTGGAGCACCAAAAGCTTCAGACAACACTTAAGATGTATTCTGGGCACCTGCGTTTCATAAAACGGAATGCTCTCTTAGTAAAAAACAATCATTTTTCATCACTTGTGAATGTGCAAATTAAACTGTAATCTGTAAATCTTAAGAGTATTTTATTTTGTTCATTGGGTTTTTTCCTGCTTTAGTGTTAAACTTACCCAAAATGAGAACATATATGCTGGGCAAATTTAAATTATATAAAGGTATGTAAAATACCCAGCAGTTACTGTAGAACTTTTGGTTTCACTCCCCATGTTAATATAACCACATTAAGATTTAATTAGATCATTGTCATGCAAATGAACATAATAGCTAAAAGAATTACAAGAGATATACTGATATAAAGGTACACTAGACAGGTTTTGAATACATTCCAAATCTTAATGCCTAACATTGGTAAGCTAGTTTGCTCATGAGTATCATAATTTTAATTTACAAAAAAAGAACACAAAGCATGAACTATCTATGAGGCTTAACTAAATGTTGATATACATGGAGTATAGGATGCCACTACACTTAATCATCCCCTTTCTCCACAGGAATCCTTGAACCATCAAATTTAAAGTGACTTCGATAGCCTTATCTTCTATATAAACATCACTCATTTCTCCTTTTTAAAATAGTGGCAACATGTTTAGGGTGTCTAAATACACATTACACTTTCATAATGCAAACAGTACTAGATATGCACAAGCTTGTTGGGCCACTCACAAGGATGCTTGGCAAATTTTATCAACATCTGGAAAAAGCAAAGGAAACCTCCAGAGCCCTAGCCAAAGCCTAGGCCCCACATCAAGGCTCAGCCTGGTCAGGAAGGATGCCGAGTCAACATACAGGAAGTCAATTTATTATCTGTAGTCTCAGCTGCTTTCTGCAGGTATTAGGTTTTCTAGCCTCATCCTTCATTTCCACTCCCAAGTTGAGATCAGAAGACCGCCAGAATAGTTCCTGTGTGTCCCAGTGTCTTCGCGTTAGAGGCTGACATGGATCAACCAGGCATGGTAATACCTTCAGTCCACTTGGCATAGAACTTGACACTCTACCTCAATGCCACATACTGGCTCTGTGTCACCCAAGCCCAGTGATTTGGCAAAATGTAAGAAAGATCGAGTGTCAGGGGTGGAGTAACAATTTAAAGCAATATTTACTGGGGGCAGGGGAAGAGTTGTTACAAAGGAGAAAAAGACACTTAATGTTTTTGCCTTCCATAGCAGGTGATTATCCACACACAAACAAGAACCAAAGTCTCCTGCCTCTGAGTAATGCAAACAAGATGTCAGTTTTCTAGCTATCTGTTCATTTTTTGCACCTGACAGTTGTGAATGACAGGCCCATAGATCACATTTAATTCTCCCATGAAGAGAACTGAAGTGCTTTGGTCTCTTGGCTTTGCTCACTGCCTTCCTTCTCCTCTGAGGGAAAGATATAATTAAAATCCTGAAGGAAAAAAGGAGGAGAAGAAAAGGAAGTATGCTTCTACTTGTGTGCCAACCCTTCGAGCGGCCAGTAGTAAGGGCACTTTGGGTGCTTTAGATGGGGCTTTCATTTGTTAGGAGGCTCTTGGCTACATTTTGCATCAGTTCATTAGCTACCAAATTCCAGACACAAATTTGAATAGCAGATTGAGTATGCACACGGGTGTTATCTGTTGCAAGCAAAACTGCCTGCTGCATTTTTTAACACATCTAACAAAGAACAGTTAATTCTCATATCTCTGGAGAAAATGAATTTAATCTCCACAGAGTTCCACTGCTCTTGGAAGGCAACCAAACATCTCCAACTTTTTCCTCCCTCGCTCAGCATGGCATTGTGTTGAAAGCTTCACACGGTGAGGTCTAATGAGGAATGAACTACAGGGAGACGAGGCTTTCACTGTATAACGTCACTGATTTCTGACTGCAACCAACATTACTAATTTGAAGCACCAGCTAATTAAAACCACAGCTATGTATTTAGCCTCTTGTTATACCTACTGCAGTTTATAATTATGAGGACCTCTTTATCTACTCAATTAAAGTTCTTATAATTCAGGCAGGTTGTGTTTGAACCTGTGAGCCCTGCAGAGGCCGCAGGAAAGCATATGTCTGTCCCCTGATGATTTGATGTAGCTTTATACTCCCAGGCTTGTTTTCTAAAGAAAAACAGGGCTCCATAGCTCACAAAGAAACGCTCAAGCCAGAAACTTGGACTAATCATCATATTACTGGTCTGAACAGTCCAAGTCTATTCACAGAGATGAGGATAGGATGAATTGGTCCTATCAGTATGAATATCCACTTTCATAATCAGAAATTGTGCCCAAATGCTCAACTCAAGAGCTCGCCACTCTTCATAAGTTAGGATGTTTTCCCAACTTTTTCTCCTGAATACAGTGAAATTTGTCACATTACAATGATATAAAAAGCACTGACCATTCAAACCCAAATTTGCGCTTAATTAACCAAGGCCTTTGGTTTCTCTCTATAGCCTGTCTTTTCGAAATTGCTGCTTCACTGCCATTCCCACTGCTGATAGGAAAGCGAGAAAGCAGAATCATTTAACTACTCTGTTGATCACTCTGATGCAAGGTGTAATGGTGAGAAGCTTCTGTCATGGGGCTTTTCTATTATTAGCTTTGATTTTACTGACATTGCTTTTCTGACCTTCAATAACAGAGACACTGCCCCTGTTTACACAGGAGGGAACTATGGTCCTCCAAAAATGAGGGTAGCTACCCCAAGCCTTCATCAAGTTAGTGGCAAAGGAATAATTGAACCGCTGTCTCTTCCATCTTCAAGTTTAGGCCATTTCTTCTCCTCATCCTCTTCAGACACTCACCTATATTCATCCTTTAACCTGATCTTGTACTCAGTAATTAGAAATCCCAGGTACCTTCATGGAGCAATATGATCCAAGACACATGCACCTTCACTAAGATCTAGAAAGTTCAATTATGACATCTTCATTAGTTCACAGTGGTAGCCCATGTGTGCTAACAAAACCAGAAAGTCTTTTAGCACAGAGACTGTTAAAGCAGGAAGAGACTTGAGCAATCATCTGGTTGTGGTGCCCTCATTTTACAGATGAGGAAATTGAACTAAAAAAGGTAATGGACTTCACAGCAGGTCTGTAGCAGACTTAGGAGGCTGGCACCCGGGTCTTCCCATTCCCACTCCCAAACTAGCTCTCTTCCCAGGACCTGTGGTGTGTCCCTTTGGTCTCCTGCATTTCTATAGTACTCCAGAAGAAATATGAGCCTCATTTGCACCCCATTGGTCAACTATCCTCAAGACTGCATTTTACTAGATATTGCCAGTAGGAAAGAACTTCAAGAATTTAATTTGAACTTGATTGTATGAAAACCATTAGTTTTCTTATATCAAAATGTATAGACCCTAAGGTGATTGTAAAAATTTACTGCATCTGTGTGGCTGGGAGAGGGAGAGTGAAAACCAGTTTAAGTCCATTTGATTTGTATATTTCATGAAGCTTAATAATCATTGTTTACCTAATCTGGTTATTTTACAAAGCCGCGTGGGGAAACATTTACAAAATATTGATGTTTTTAAATGACAAGCATGTTTTTTAAATGTTGCTAACTAATACAGGATTTACCATAGTAATGATATACATGAAGGTGAATCACTTAACCTCATTTGTTTTCTAGTCCAACTGTAGTAAACACCTCTATTTTGGCTAATATCTTCATAAAAGCATAAAAATCCATATTTAATTCACCCAAGGGACAAATAGCAGCTTTCTGTCCTTTTTCTACCAGCTAGTGTAAATGGTAGAGAAACAGGGATTCACTACTATATAACTCACTCCCTATGGTTCTCCTGAATGAATAGGTGCCTTCTATACAATTTTTGGATAGTTTTTTTTTTTTTACATGTTCTAGAGCTCCGGTATTTTTTTTTTTTTCAGTATT